AGCCTTGTAAAAAGAAAGGGCCAAATTGGCCCTTTTTTCGTTTTTCTGGGGGCCATCTCTGATTCCAACGTGGGATTCCTGCAATGGCGCGGTCTGGTGGAAACACTGCTAGTTCTGTGTTTCCATCAAGTTATAGGAACACAATTTTTAACCAATCAGCTTACGTATTTTCTCAGCACTATTTTCTAATTATTACTACTATTATTATTAAAATGCAGAGGTACCAAAACTACTTTAGGTATGGCAAGTACCCCATCCTTTTTATATGGGAGTCTCCCCCACCCCCACTGCATGTTACCCCCCAGTCTGCAGTCTGTGTGTTACACTGACTGAAACTCTTAGAGGTAGAAAACTAAATTCATGCAGTTATTACCTTTCATGCCACATCATTCTTATCAAATATGCTGCCACATCATCATTCTCCATTGTCAACGCCAACTCAACTGGTAGTAAACCTCGCTTCTCAGGTTTAAGCTGAGCTTTTGTTTTCAGATCCAACAAGCCTGGACATTTTTTCACAAGTGTTTTGGTGACATGTGGAAAGTCAAGCTCAGCTGCATAGTGCATCAATGTCTTCTTTGTCTTATCTTCCCCATCTCTGAATGTCTCATATCTATTGCATGCATTGAGTTCACTCTTTAATAGGATCTCTAAAAGTCTATTAATCTGCAAGAAACCACATGTCAATGGTAGTTTACTACTTACCACTAATTATCACTAAATGCAAAAATTAATGTTGAGAAGTTGTTCTTTCAAATTGAAGAAAATAGATTTGAAATTAGCATTAAAACTCTTGAGCTACAATCTGACTAATGTTCAAGAAAGATTACATGCGGCGGTCAGAGGATTACTGTAGTATATAAGTTAACAAGAAGTGAACAAGTGACGGAGTGAAAATACCCAGGAAATAGCCAGTAAAAACAACAGTGTTTCAAAAGCAAAGAGAGTCTAATATGACCAATAGTCTAGGGTTAGTGCAGTTTCCAGTCAGGTAGTTTCCAGTCCTTCACTAGCACATTCTTTCTCAGTGACCCACATTCTTCATTCTCCATCAATTTATGCAGAACTTACAAACTTATCATAAGAATTATCATAAGAATTAATCTTACATGACAGTATATACAACTACCAATAGAGCTCAAAAGGTTAACTGATAAATCCAACATAATTATGTTCAGATTTCTTCCAACTGTGATTTCAGTTTTAATATTCAATAAAATAAAATACAGCTGAACCTCCGGTTGTGACCACCTCTCATAAGTGACCACCTCTCCGCAGCGACCAGTTTTCCAAAATACCAAACGTTTCCAAGTCAAATCACTATATTTGGAACCTCTTGTAAGTGACCACCTCTAATAAGTGACCGCGACCACTTTTAGAGCTAAAAGTTTGAATTTTTTCGCTGTTGTTAACCTCCCGCAAGCAACCACTTGACAGATAATGGAGCAAAACATTGATATAATAAGGCGTTGTAACATTATCATATTCCTGGCTAGTACAAGAAATGAAAATTTCTCAATGGGAAGAACCAGATTTTTTCTCGAAATTGACTTTCACATGAATAAAACATTGCATCGGCATTGACGCATGGGGTAAGTCTCAGCAGCTATCGTATTCTAATGAGGAAAAATTTTGACCCATTATGGTCTGAGGTCTCGTAAGCAACCACCTCCCATAAGCGACCACCTAGGCTTGACATTTTGGGTAGTTGCTTACGGGACGTTTGACTGTATAGAGATTTAGCCAAGCCTAAGAGCAGAGCTCCTGATTATATAAACTAAAATGTGATTTTGAGACAGCAAAACTGCATTATATTGGCGGCTAGTTGAAAGAAAATATATTCTAGTATTGGGCTCTATGGCTTCACAACTCCTCCCAATACCAGAATATATTTTCTCCCAACTAGCCTCCAAGGGGAACTGCCTGGGCAATGAGCTGCCCCACTATAAAAACGCCAGAAAACGCCTCCTGTATGTACACCACACTATAATCAACGAGCACATGGAATTCTGATGCATGCGCATATGTGTCGACACCCCTGACTACCAGTTGAACGCAAGCGCTCTTTGTTATTAACTCCGTTAAATTGCATTTAACTGCATGTATGGCAATCTGCTTGCGCAGGAGCTCAGCTATAAGGATGTAATTTTATACATAATACATACCAGTTGTTCAAGGCCTGGAAGGCGATCTGAGTTATCCTGATACTGTTTTGATGCTGGCCACCTTTTTAGCATCACAAGAGCAGGGTCTTCGCTAACTAGCTCACCATTGTCTTTATATTTCTGGATCAGCCTTTCAACTCGCACTTCATCCATGGCTCTGTTCCATGACATTCCTTCACTTCTCTTTTGTCGAACCTAAAAATATTAGTTAGTGTGTCTACAGATTTTTCACAAGACTAAANTCAACTCGCACTTCATCCATGGCTCTGTTCCATGACATTCCTTCACTTCTCTTTTGTCGAACCTAAAAATATTAGTTAGTGTGTCTACAGATTTTTCACAAGACTAAACTTTGACATTTTTCTACCTTATCAGTTTTCAATTTTTATTTTCTTCTGAATTATTATATCCACTTAAGTGTCACCCATCAAGCAGGGTGAACCATTTATTTTATTTCGTTTTGTTCATTCTAAACATTTGTCTACATGTTAAGCTGTTGCGTTCAAGAGAGTACATTGTACAAAGCAAAACTAAATAAATACCTTTAATTGATTTTTACCGTGTGTACTGGGAATTGTTATCCAATAACAATATATCTGAGTTTTGTTAAATAATCTAATTATAATTTACCCCATATCAACATCAAACAATCCAAACTCGCTATTCAAATTCTTAAAAAAAAATTATTAAAATAATCATAAAAGTTTGATACCTTAATCCAGAACTCTGAGTCAAATTCATCTTCCGGGCCATCAGCTTGTTGATCAGCTGGTTCTTCCTCCCAACGCTCATTTCCTTTAGCTCGCTCGAGCAACTCCTGTTCTTTTCTTTTCATACCTTAATCTTTCGACTCTAGCTTGAAGTTGCAAATAAACTTATTCGTGCACTGAAAACAGCCTTTTACCGGCCTTTTAGTTTTCCACATGGGCATGCTCAAGTCGTATAAATGGCATCAAACCGAATTACTTAAGAAGACATTCTTCCTTGAACGTAGCCATATTTACTCCATGATGGTAGAATAATTAGTTAACCAGCTCTACATAGCACTGATATTTGTAAAACACACAACGTAATCCTGACTGCTCGACCAGCATCCATGACTGCACTCAAGTGAGTTTACACAAAACACTGACGCGACTTCGGGGTTACCTCGGGGTGTTTGTCAACCTCATTCCCAGGCTCTCTCTCCACCATCTCTCCTGTTCGGGGAGAGAGAGCCTGGACCGTTGCAGTTTAATCTCGTTCCCAGATCTCTTGTGGACGAGGCCGAAGGCGATATCTTGCCAAGTAAGGAAATTTCTTTTTCTTGATTGGCTGCTCAATTTGACTCCTGTCCAATTCCCTCTTTGAACATTTACGGGGTTTTCCGCGTAAATGTTCAAAGCGATGCAAATCTTCAAGAGATCTGGGAACGAGATTAGTTGCAGTTATGTCCTATGAGTATGCTTGTTAAAAAGGGACAAAACAACAAGATCATTATTTGCATGACAAGACAGTGATAAATACATCGAGATTCAACTTTATACAACAAGATCATATATATGTATACATCAAGATTTGCATTTACGGTATATCAAGATTTGTCAGCTTAAATATTAATCAAACATTGTATATGTACCGTAACATTAAAATTCGTGTATGTACATTAAGATTTGTGCATATTCATCAAGATCCGGGCATACAATGAAGATCTGAAGATACCTTAAGATTTTTGTTTACATTTTCGTGCACTTCGGACATAAAGGAAAACGTGACCTCTAGATCGATTATCGTGTTTTCAAACGGCGACTAAAAAAGGCCGCAAACCCCGAGGGGGAGGGGTACTGCCATATATGGGCTATATAGGTAACTGTCAAAAATCGGGATTCAGACGGAAATCGGTGGTTTTAATAATGGTTACTCTAGTATAGGGGCTAGCAAAATTCAGCTGAACTAGCTCTGCTATAGGCTAAGGGTTCCAGGGTCCTAGCGGCACATCCCTACCCAGAAATTCCTAAAGTACCCCCCGGGCGGCAAACAAGGTGAATTTGCCGTTGCCAAACGAGGAAGCCATGATTCCTTCTTGGTTCGCCTTGTATACAGAGCCATGACAGGGAAAGTGCCTCGTGAAAGGTCACGAGTCAGTGGAGGTAACTGCAGCAGTGTTGAAGAAGAGTTGCCGAGAAATTTTCAAATTCTCCGTGGTGTCGTTGGCGCACAGCAGCCTCCGTTGTACAATCCACGAGTAAATTATGGAAGCAATGATAGTAGTGGAAAGAAAGGGAAA